CTCAGCTATCATTTTATTCAACCAGAACTCGAGCAGAAGGAGCTAAATATGGCTCAACAATGTAAGATAAAGTGTTAGCATTTAAGCAGCAACCACTTAGCGTATTATGCTAAAGCGTTAGCAGAATACTCCTAATCAAAATATTGCTAGCAATTTGACTCGACAAAAGTCAAGTGTTAGCTTAGTGTAAGATAAAGTTTTGGAGCTTGATATGGCTCAACAATGTACATTTAAGTGATAATGTTATGATACAATTAGGCTTTAGTGTTAGCATGTAGTGAAGCTTCAACTTAAAGTAGTGTGAGCAAGAAGCTAAATAGCGCTACAGGCCTATGCTAAACATCGTTAGCATGGTGTAGCGAGGCTTTTGTTGTTATTTTGGTGTCCATGTTCCCATTCGGTCCTTACATACAAGGAATAAAAATCACATCTTGTTTTGTTAGCTCACTGTGTGATGCTAAAAGTAGTATTATCATGCATCAAGGCCAGTTTGAGATGACTCGACAAAAGTCAAGTGTTAGCGTCTTGTAAGATAAAGTTTTGGAGCTTGATATGACTCAATGTAATATAAAGGGTCAGAAGGATCAACTTTATGATAAAATTATGCTTTATTGTTAGCGTGTAGTGAACCTTCAACTTAAAATAGTGTGAGCAAGAAGCTAGATAGCGCTACAGGGCTAAGCTAAACATCGTTAGCATGGTGTAGCGAGGCTTCTGTAGTTATTTTGGTGTCCATGTTCCCATGCTGTCCTTACATACAAGGAATACAAACCACATCTTGTTTTGTTAGCTTACTGTGTGATGCTAAATGTAGTATTATCATAGTTTCACAGCCAGTGTTACGGAGTTAAACGTCCATGTCTTAAATGTACTTGGTGCGTGTTAGCGGAGAACCAACTATACATCCATCACTCTCTGACAGTCTTTGGTTTACCAACCCTAAGAGAAGCATGTCAGAGAAAGCTTAAATACAAGAAAAAATCTACTTGGAAAAAACAAAATGATTTCATTCAGAAAAGAAAACGGCAACCGTTGTGGATGTGATCGTCATTAGAATCTCACAGTTTAATCATCTTCACAATAAACCTCTATACACACACATATAACAGCTTTATCAAACTTCATTAAACCCTGAGCAAAGAGGATTAAGACTTTCGATAAGAAGTGAGGAAACAATAAGATATGTGTACTCTGCATGCCTTTCCTAAATCTTTATATATATATTCATCAGTGATCCAGACAGGTAGAAATAATGTGGCTTTTATAGTCGTCAGGTCAGGGATAATCAATGTAATCTTTAAGGTAATGCCGTCAGCTGATATGAGGGTTAGCTTGAAGAAAAAGGGAGCATTAATGATCAGGAATGTTTCTTATATGTATTCCTTTATTTCAAAATATATGCCTGCTTTTAAACCTCATCTCCTACATTGGTTCAATTAAAGATAAGCTAAATTGAGCACTTTTCCTCTGTCAAATGGGGTGTTTCCTGCACGTCGAATAGCTTTGTGTCATAGTGATATAAAACGATGGCTTTTTCTACCCGAGGTAAACGAGAACGTGTTTAAAACAAGTGTAATAAAAAGCTTTAAAATAAACAACATGTCAGGAGGTTGAGGTCATGTGACTGAATGCAGCAGGAGGTTGAGGTCATGTGACTGAATGCAGCAGGAGGTTGAGGTCATGTGACTGAATGCAGCAGGAGGTTGAGGTCATGTGACTGAATGCAGCAGGAGGTTGAGGTCATGTGACTGAATGCAGCAGGAGGTTGAGGTCATGTGACTGAATGCAGCAGGAGGTTGAGGTCATGTGACTGAATGCAGCAGGAGGTTGAGGTCATGTGACTGAATGCAGCAGGAGGTTGAGGTCATGTGACTGAATGCAGCAGGAGGTTGAGGTCATGTGACTGAATGCAGCAGGAGGTTGAGGTCATGTGACTGAATGCAGCAGGAGGTTGAGGTCATGTGACTGAATGCAGAGCCTCACTAATCCCTCAATGATGGAGAGTGTAAACTGCTGAGTGGACAGAAAGGGTATCCTGATGACAGATGGCAGCAGGGAGGAGGATGGAAGATGGAGGATGGAGGATGGAGGATGGGAGATGGAGGATGGGAGATGGAGGATGGAGGATGGGAGATGGAGGATGGGAGATGGAGGATGGGAGATGGAGGATGGGAGATGGAGGATGGGAGATGGAGGATGGGAGATGGAGGATGGGAGATGGAGGATGGAGGATGGGAGATGGAGGATGGGAGATGGAGGATGGGAGATGGAGGATGGGAGATGGAGGATGGAGGATGGGAGATGGAGGATGGGAGATGGAGGATGGGAGATGGAGGATGGGAGATGGAGGATGGGACAGTTTTTAAAAGGAATGACCTCCAGCTTTTATATTTTGGTTGAATTTAGTGGGAAAGAGATTTGTGACATGCTTACACTTTAGGAATTGAAACCATTGACTTCATGAAAGCTAACAGATGTAGCATCCATGCTAGAGGAGTGTCCTACTGTGTGTGTGATGAGGTGTTAGCTTTGGGTCAATCAACTAAATTAAGAGTTAGCTTTGTTCCTGCTAGCACTCGAAAGATAAAAGTGTCGGCATGCCCAGCCTGTTAGCAAGATGGCTAGTTTGGCCAAATGTTTAGCATCAAGGCTAGCGTGAGATGACTCGACAAAAACCACGTGCATGCTTCACAGTTATTGACGAATAGTGTGTTAAACTCCCTCATGTACTTTAATGCAGCCTCAAAACCATGACAAGATATCACAATATTCAAAGTCTAAGAGGATATGTAGTCTGATGTTGCGATGTTGATGTTTCCCCATTCCTAGACAAGATATTAATGAATATAGCATTCTCAAAATGTAAATGAAATGTGTTTTTCGGTGCTGAAACGTTCCCATCTTTCCCTCAGCCTCCTCCTCCTCCTCCTCCTCCTCGTCAGCAAACAGGAACACTCATCACTGCTTTCCAACAAATGAATCTGCAGCACTACATTACCCATAATGCAACAGCGTTCAGATTTGATAAGCAGTGTTGAAATTTGGAAAATTGACATGTATATATATTTAACATATCCACAATTAACCTTATCTGTATTTATGTAAACTACAACAACCCTTGAACATTTAGGAAACTAGATTTTTGAACAATTGTATATTCCAAAAGTTGTATTAATTTATAAAGCAATCTTCAGGTAAGCCTTATTATAAAGAACACCCAACAAGCCATGCTTTGTAAACCAATGGGGTGCATCTTTGTAATTAAAGCATTGTCATTCATAGAAGCAGAAAATAATTGAAACGTTGAAATTGATTAAACACATTGACTGCATTTGTTCTTAAAGCTGCTTGTTAGCTTATTTAAACATATATCGTCTTTAACGACTGTAAACTTTCACAACGATGAGCAAAAGTCACGTATTTTCGCTTTAATGCAAAGTGGGAACATCATGACACAAAACTATCCGAAGAACATTTTGGATTTGAAACCAAACAATGAGGCGCAAGTTAGATCTGCTGCCTTTAAAGAAATGCATTTGTGTTTTTAACAAAACTTGTAGTTTTTATAAAAGTGATTTTCATATTAGTTGGAAAACGTCAACTGAGCTGCAGCTGTAAACTTGTCTTTGTGTATGCTACAACAATCCTTACTTAAATGATCAATAAGCATTTATTCTTTCAGCAGTAAATGAATTCATGAGAACACAACTGAGGTACATTTAAAAAAAGACAACGATATGTAGTGTGGAGAAAGGAGAGATGCTATGGTCCCCAGGTGAGGCTGATGTGACGCGTCTGAATACATGCCTCTTCTTGCATAGATTGAATTTGCAGGACATTTAAAACAAAAAAAATCCATAAATGTAAGGTTTTTAATTTGTGTGTGACTGACCTCGCTGCAGTCTCATGAAATCGTGAAGTCACTATTTAAATGTGTTTATGTGCAGAGCTCGACGAGTGAGAGCAACTTCAGCACAAAACAACATCTCATACTGACAAGAACAATCTCTCCTGATATCCTTCGTTTGTTGTAGCCTAAGCTCACCTTATTGCTCTGACACCCGCCCTGAGTTCACCCCCCCCCTCCCTCCCTCCCTCCTCTCCTTCATCTCCTGACAAACATTTGACCCCAAGTGACCCTCGAACACTGCGGCGTCTCGACTTCAACGTTCACTGCCAGCAATGCAGCTGCAGATTCTCCAGTGTCATCAAACGAGGCATCTCTCAGCAGCTCCCCCTCTGCACCGAGGAGACATGCAGATGATATATTTTAATGTTCTCTCAGAGGTCTGTTTCTCGTGGTAAATATGTGAACGTAACGGAGCTGCTGTGATGCCAACATTTTTATAATTGCATCGTATAAAGGCCAAGAAGAAATCGAAATGCTTTTGTGTTTGTCCGAAAACATAACATTTTGCAGGTTTCAGTCGTTCTTAATCGACTAAGATGTCTTACAGATATGACCATTACATCAATGAATCAATTAGTAAAGTAAAATCCTTTGAGTGTTAGTCGATTAAGGGTTTCTTTAGTAGAGAAGACCTTAATATTTTCAAAAAATACATGTCGTAGTATTATCATATCATGTAAAGACCAAGAGGACATTTAAAAGCTTGTATTTGGGTTTCAGTTTGTCCAAAAGCAGAACATTTCGTTTCCCACTTCTTAAATGGACCAAGATGTCTCGCAATGGGTTTCTTTTTCCATACCGGGCTGCATCTTATCCCATCATGGCTTCACAACAGTACTTAGACACTGAGTGTGTATTTCTTTTCTTTTTCAAGTGAATTTCACAGCCTTCAAAATACAAAGCTAGCATGGACTTTAGCTGCCATGCATACAAGTCAAAAAACTGAAAACGTTTTTCTAAAACTGAGGTAATCTCTTATCAATATCAGTGCCACAAACTCCCACTCCAACTCCAACGTAGGAGTGTTCCCAAAAGCTTTCTTAAAATAAAAGTCTTCCCAATTACATGAGAGCAGTTTTTAAATAAGGGAGGGGGGGGGGGGGGGGGGTTCACCATGCATACAGAGAACTAATTAGCCGGGGTTGTACAAGTGTGGGAGTGAAAATGGGATTTGCAGATTTACAAACTGATGGAGAACATGCGGGATGGGAAGCTACACACATGGTGAAGAGTCACATTAACAGGTTAACAAAGTGAAATGTATTCCTCACAATAAATCCAACCGCCCACCCTCGATTCCTAATCCTTCCTGGTGTGATCATTGGATATCGGATGGGGGGTAGAGGAAACAGAAATCTTTAAAATAAATACAACCTGTCGGCACTCTCTCACCCTCTGTAACAGGTCTCTCACCCTCTGTAACAGGTCTCTCACCCTCTGTAACAGGTCTCTCACCCTCTGTAACAGGTCAGAAGAGACACAGTAGCAGTGAGAGGAAATCGTCTCTCCAGTGGAAGCTCCTCCCACTTTTTTTTTACTCTCATGAAGCAGAACCTCTCTCCAGTGTTGTAAAATGTAGACGGACGCAGTAAGATCCAAAGAAGAAAAATCATCAGTAGTAGAGCTGGATCGACGGAGAGAGAGAGAGATCCACTTCAGGCAGAAGATATTTTTGTAACACAGGATATTATTTTTTTCTTTTAAAGTGTGCGGAAAGATGCCCAGGAGTCGTGGGACAAAGAGCAGGCAGTCCTGGTGTACTACAGTACGATGGTGGAGGGGAAATGTCGAAATGTGTTAAACTAGTGCCTTTTTGCAGAAGTAGTCGAAGTAGCGTTAGTAGCTGAAGTGTGCGGCTTTGAGCGAGCAAAAAAAAAAATTGTGAAAACGGATATCAATCAGCTTTGGGATTGTCCGCGAGGGGTTGAACGTCCGGTTGAACTTCCGGCATGCGGCTGCGTCGATAAAGACGAAATCCTTTCCTGCATAGCAACACGAACCAGTAGACCTGCGGCGCCAGGATGCACGCGTTCCCCAGGTTGGTGAGCAGCGGCAGGTGGAAGGGAACGCTGTAGAGAGGGAGGTCGTAGTGGCGTCCGTACACCCAGTACATGTAGGGGAAGAGGGCGATGCGGCACATGAAGAAGGTCAGGAGAACCATGCCGCCATTTGCCTTGTGCAGCCAGCAGTCCTGGAGGCCCAGCTGGAGGAGACGAGAGAGGAGGAGACAAGAGAGGAGGAGACAAGAGAGGAGGAGACGAGGGAGGAGGAGACAAGAGAGGAGGAGACAAGAGAGGAGGAGACAAGAGAGAGGAGGAGACAAGAGAGAGGAGGAGACGAGAGAGAGGAGACGAGAGAGGAGGAGACGAGAGAGGAGGAGACGAGAGAGGAGGACAAGAGAGAGAGGAGACGAGAGAGGAGGAGACGAGGGAGGAGGAGACAAGAGAGAGGAGGAGACAAGAGAGAGGAGGAGACGAGAGAGAGGAGACGAGAGAGGAGGAGACGAGAGAGGAGGAGACGAGAGAGGAGGAGACGAGAGAGGAGGAGACGAGAGAGGAGGAGACGAGAGAGAGGAGACGAGAGAGGGAGACAAGAGAGGAGGAGACGAGAGAGGAGGAGACAAGAGAGGAGGAGACAGAGAGGAGGAGACAGAGAGGAGGAGACAAGAGAGAGGAGGAGACAAGAGAGAGGAGGAGACAAGAGAGAGGAGGAGACGAGAGAGAGGAGACGAGAGAGGAGGAGACGAGAGAGGAGGAGACGAGAGAGGAGGAGACGAGAGAGAGAGGAGACGAGAGAGGAGGAGACGAGAGAGGAGGAGACGAGAGAGGAGGAGACGAGAGAGAGGAGACAAGAGAGGAGGAGACGAGAGAGGAGGAGACAAGAGAGGAGGAGACAGAGAGGAGGAGACAGAGAGGAGGAGACAAGAGAGGAGGAGACGAGAGAGGAGGAGACAAGAGAGGAGGAGACAAGAGAGGAGGAGACAGAGAGGAGGAGACAAGAGAGGAGGAGACAGAGAGGAGGAGACAAGAGAGGAGGAGACAAGAGAGGAGGAGACAGAGAGGAGGAGACAAGAGAGGAGGAGACCAGACAGGGGGAGACAAGAGAGTGTTTATTTTGTAACGTTGATGTCATTTTGTATTTGATTACATTTTGTATTTGTGTGCAATAGATGAGCAACAATTACGTCACTTCCGGGCGAAAATTACGGCCCCGCCCACTTTTGGGGGAAAACAGCGCTGTCATTTGAACGGCGATCAATACACATTCTGAAGTTTTTGCCAATCCGATCAGAAATGTTTGAAAACCGTGGATTTTCTGATCTTCAAAGAGCCCGATCACGATGTTCAGTCAGGCAAACTATTACATTAAATCATTGGAAATCGACGATCGGCTCGATATATGGTTCAATTAAAATCAGTAGGCGAGGCTGTTACTCTCATGAGCGAGGCGGAAAGTAATAGTTTTATCACGCCAACAAGCTGCTGTGTCGTTTCAGTGTTTCCTCTAGGTTTACTGCCTTGGCAGGGTGCTGCCAACGGGGGGGTGCCAACGGGGGGGTGCCCGCAATCTTTTTTTGAATTTCTTTTTTTTATCGATAACGGCTTGAGGTTAAAAAATAATAATAAACGAATTTGAAACTGGGGGGGGGGGGGGGGGGGACACACACAAAGGGGCAGACAGCAGAGCTCGGGGCAATAATGCAGATTTGTTTGACTTTTTTACACTTTGTTGTTCTCCTCCGCTCTTGTCTCTGATTGTGAGTGTGTGCATTCGTGTGTGTGTGTGTGTGTGTGTGTGTGTGTGTGTGTGTGTGTGTGCATTCGTGTGTGTGTGTGTGTGCATTCGTGTGTGTGTGTGTGTGCATTCGTGTGTGTGTGTGTGCATTCGTGTGTGTGTGTGTGTGTGCATTCGTGTGTGTGTGTGTGTGCATTCGTGTGTGTGTGTGTGTGCATTCGTGTGTGTGTGTGTGCGCATTCGTGTGTGTGTGTGTGCGCATTCGTGTGTGTGTGTGTGCGCATTCGTGTGTGTGTGTGTGCGCATTCGTGTGTGTGTGTGTGCATTCGTGTGTGTGTGTGCGCATTCGTGTGTGTGTGTGTGTGTGTGTCAGAAACAGAGCGGAGGGAGAATGTGAATACGCAACGCAGTGGACACTGAAACATGCACACATTGGATAAATAACATAGGCGTTTAGTTTATTTAATAAAAGAGCACATGTTCAAAGTGACCGTAGATAGATTACTTCAGTTGCAATTTGGTGATATATATATATATATATATATATATATATATATATATATATATATATATATATTTTTTTTTTTTTTTTTTAATTAAAAAAAAAATAAAAACCAAAAAACCAAACACCTTGAATTTCAGGTGGGACGCGGGGCTCCGTTGGCCGGGCGCAGGGCGCAGGGCGCAGGGCCCGGCCAAGACAATGGTAGGGGAAACACTGCGTTTATTGCTCCTCAAACATTAAAACAAATCCAGAGTTCAGTGTTTCTGAACTTCCTCTCAGAAGAAAGGACCGTAACAGAAGAGCTCTGTGGCTTCAGGCTCGATCGCCGTTCAAATGACAGCGTTGTTTCCCCCAAAAGTGGGCGGGGCCGTAAAGTGACGTAGATGTTACTCTCATCTATTTGACATCGATCGCCTACTGCTATATTTAACCATATTTCGAGCCCGATCGTCGATTTCAAATGATTTAATGTGATTGTTTGCCTGACTGGCCATCGGAATCGGGCTCTTTGAAGATCCATAAATCCACGGTTTTCTTACATTTCTGATCGGATTGGCAAAAACTTCAGAATTTGAATTGACCGCCGTTCAGATGACAGCTTTTCCCCCAAAAGTGGGCGGAGCTGTCATTTTTGCCCGGAAGTGACGCATGTGTTTCATCTCTGCTTGTCTACGTGCTGCTGGGACAAAGGGATTTCCCAAACTGGGATGAATAAACATATCTTATCTTGTGTAGGCCACAAGTTAGCATGGCTAGTGTTCCCTTGACAGGAGAGGGAGCAGGAAGTGGTCAAATGCTAACTCATTCCTAGGTTTAAGGACTTGTGTCTGCACCACTATATGATTTCTAGCATGCCATATTAGCATGCTCACCTTCATTAGCTAAAGCTGAGACAAAATACAGTCTGATGGTGTCGTCAAATCTGTTGGATTAGTTCATAAAACTCTCCTTTTTTTTAAATAAAAACCTAAAAGATATTTTCTCTCGGGGACTTAGTTATGAGATTTTAATTTCTGTGCCTTTTTGTAGCTGCTGCTGTTGCTACTTCTTTAATATTCTGTCATGCCAAACAGACCAAAACACTTGTGATGTTCTCCTGTGATGCAGGAGCCATGGCTGCTCCACACTGAGAGATCGATAGGAATCAGCAGAGAAACTGTGTGTTCGTGCTGACTCAGGCCAAAGGAGGGAGACTCAGGCCAAAGGAGGGAGACTCAGGCCAAAGGAGGGAGACTCAGGCCAAAGGAGGGAGACTCAGGCCAAAGGAGGGAGACTCAGGCCAAAGGAGGGAGACTCAGGCCAAAGGAGGGAGACTCAGGCCAAAGGAGGGAGACTCAGGCCAAAGGAGGGAGACGAGCAGCTTCGCTCTGCTCTTTGTCTCTGCCCACACCAGATGTCAGCAGAGACCTGGAAGCCATTGACTGAGTCTATTCTTAGAGGAAGGCTTTACTGAAACACACTGACAGGAAGTCATGTGGCTGAAGCTAACGAAGGCATTACTGCTGTTAATGGGTAATCAGATTACATTTCTAAAAAAGGTGGATATTTAGAAGGATTTCACTTAAAACCTAAAAAGATCATGTCGTGTTTGTTGTAAAGGATCAGCTGTTCTCTCTTCTCTGTCAGCTGATAATACTTTAAGGGTTCATCTATACGCCTACTGCCTGAATCTGATTTATGAGATTTTAATTTGTATTTCTTTTGTACATGTGGCCCTAATCATGTCAAAATACAGACTATTTTTAATTTTTAAGTTTTTCTCTATAATTGAAAATGCTCCATTTTTTGTAATTGTAATGTATTTTCTAAATTCTGACTGAGAAAATGACGCTGCTGTCGGCTGTGCAGTGAATGTTTGCCTAGGGCCCCCACCGACTCTAGGGCCCCCACCGACTCTAGGATCGCCACTGGTTGGTAATCAGATTACATTTTTTTTTTAAATGCTGATTTCTAGCAGAATCCTGTTTTTTTTTCTTTTTTTAAACGTCTCCCTTTTCCAAATTTCAATTTATTATCAAATTTTGGACTATTTTAACAAAAATCTAAATTTTTCCAAAAAATCTTACGTTTTCAAATTCCTGACTTTTTAGATAATTCTCACTTTTTTGTAAAACATTCTGACATTTTTCCAAAGTCCGATATATTATCAAAATTTGACTACTTTTTAAAACTTTGAAAATAAATCTGACTTTATACAAATTGTGAGTGGATCAGCCGTTCTCTCTTCTCTGTGAGCTGTTCTCTGTGAGCTGTTCTCTCTTCTCTCTGAGCCGTTCTCTCTTCTCTCTGAGCGTTCTCTCTTCTCTGTTCTCTCTTCTCTGTGAGCTGTTCTCTCTTCTCTGTTCTCTTTCTCTGTTCTCTCTTCTATTGAGCTGGTCTCTCTTCTTGTTCTCTCTTCTCGTGAGCTGTCTCTCTTCTTGTTCTCTCTTTCTTTGAGCCGTTCTCTTCTCTGTTCTATCTTCTCTGTTGAGCCGTTCTCTCTTCTCTGTTCTCTCTTACTCTGTGAGCTGTCTCTCTTCGCTGTTCTCTTTCTTGTTTCTGTTCTCTCTTCTCGTTTTGTGAGCTGT